GTGATCTACTCTATGTGTGCCTTCACATAACCCACTAACCTAAACTGGGTTAGATGGTTTGTGACTCATTCCATTGTATGAATGTAGCAGAGTGATTAGTTCATTGGTTCAGTGTGGTGTTATGAATCCAGTTGGGTTAACTCAGTAAACCATAATTCATATAAGTGCATCCATATTTTAGTTTTAAAATTCAGCTTCCTAACCAGGTCTTGTTCATTCCATAGTGCTGATTTCTTGTCTTGCTCTCTATTTCTGCTGCTTACATTAGGAGTAATGTGCTGGCCAATATTTTAGGAGCTTAATATGCTAAACATTATTATGTAAAATACTGGTGATAAGTATTTCACTCTACATCATTTTTAAAGCCCTTTTCTCTGATTTGAAGGTAGTTATTTCTTCATGTTGATGTTCAGTGTGAAACACGTCAGGAAGAGTCTTTCATTCCAATATTATAGCATAAATCCATCTGCCCATGATTAGGATGTGTAGTAATTGTACCTTGTAAAACTGTGATTATTTAGGTGCCCAGTACTTTGTGTATACCCAACTGAAACTCATTGATTTTTTAAAATGGCGTTTATCTAAATAGTTGTGTTTCATGTTTCCTCTGGTAGGATTGTTGTTTCCTGTACTGCCTGGAAGTCATGCCCAGACACAAATGCAGAAAATTTATGTAAGGAATTGTTCCAAACTTTTCAAGACATGGTAAAATTAATGACCACAGCCCAGCTGTAGAAAAAAAAAACTGGAGTTCCAGTGCCATTTTTTTATATTATCATATCTACTGAAAATTTGAGGAATGAAAACCTTACCTAAAAGGAGTGACTGAAGTGGACATGGTATTTAATGACAGTTACTATATAAACTAGGCATAAATAATGCAAAATTCTACTGCAGTAACAATGCAATTTTCTTTAAGTCTGCAACAGCAATGCAAAATATGATTAGAACTATGCAATGATAAACTAAGCTTCAAAAATGCAAGATGATTGAATCCATAGTTTTTCCATAGAAAAAAAGTTTAATATGTAACCCTACTAGCAATAAAGGATACAAGATAATATTTAAATGAGTTTAATTCAGTTTTTTACAAGTTGGTGCTTTCAGAAGTACACATTGGGGAAGCTCGCTTTGGTTTACTTCAGTGGAAAACAAAGTGGAAAGGTTTTGAGCATCCATTGCAGGAATCATGTTTCCTTTCTAAATGAAATGCATATCATAGTTTTTATAATTTCTTGCTTTTAAAAGTAATCAAGGGAAGTATTAGAATGCTTGTGAGTTTATTTCAGGTACCTTGGGGCTGCTCTTCTGTTCCATACAGTGGGATTGTTTAAACTCAGAGGCTTTTCTATAAACTGGAAGAAATGATAATTAAAAATACTGTATATTCTTGTCACTGCAAATGTATAAGCTCAGTATGATTCTCAGGACAGCATGCACTCTTTGTATAATAAATTTGAAGCTCTATCAATAATGCAATTTCTTCTTGAAATAAAGACCAAAAAGTGTGAACTTCATTCATCTGTGCATACATGCATTGTTCCTTTATGAAGGGTAGGTGTACTCTAATTACTCCAGGATTTCTCAACCTTGGCAATTTCAAGATGTGTGGACTTCAGCTCCCAGAAAGGTCGAAAGTCACTCCGGTTTTGCTCCTGAGGAGCCCCTGGACAGCATGGGGATCTTGTACTCCATAACACCCGCCCACCGGTACTCCACAGTGCCCACCTATGGCACCCACCTTTCCTCCGTAGGGCCCACCCACATTCTGTAGCACCTGCCCACAGCACCTGCCTGCCTACATTCCATAGCATCCCCCTCCGTCAGTCACTGGCCCACAGCTCTTACCCACTGGCCTGCTTGCCTGGGATGTGGTTTCAGTGCCTCTTCCCACATTGTGATAATGTGAGGTCCCCACTTAATGATCCGCATAGTCCTTGCTTAATGATGGCAGCAGGGACTGCCGGATTTGCCATCGCTAAGTGATGTGGTCACGTGATGTTGCGCTTTACGACTGCATCGCTTAGTGATTGAAATTCCAGTCCCAATTGCCATTGTAACCCAAGGACTACCTGTAGATCATATGTGTATATGTGCATGTATATTTGTACATACGTGTGTGTTTACGGCCACACTGGCATAGCTGAAACAAAATCAAAGATTAAATGAATTTGAACCAATTAAATTGCTATTTAAATAAAGTGTTCCATTCATAAAATTATTTGAGCCTCATCTGCCCTTCTGATTCATATACAAAAACTTGTACAGATACATATTTCTCTCCTTCCAAGCAGGGAAAAAGCCAAGCTTAAGAGGAAGAAAAAATTACATTAAGAATGAAACACAACTGGATGGAGATGTGAGTGAAAATATTCAGTTGAGAAGAAAGCAAAAAATCCAGACAGGCATTCCAAAAAGGGTTAAATGCACCAGGCAAACAGGTCACTTTCCTGCTCATCTTAAAAAGCATCAGTCTGCAACCATTTGCACTTCATGCTATTCCTTTTTTTTTTTTTTTTAAACTTCTGTTCCCTACTTCTCACCAAGTTACAATTAAATTATGGCATTCTGAATACTTAGAGCTGATATAACTTAGTGATTGCTAGGACTGTTTACCTGTTATTATTTATTAATAGCCAAAACTACATATGCATCCAACCATATAATCTGGATATAGATAGTATAAAGCAAATTAATAAAATGTAGATGTTTAAAGTGAAAAGAGTGGAGATTGTATTTGCAACTGTAAGTCAAACCTTTCTGTGCAACAAATTTCTTTGCAAAGAAAAAGCTTGTGGAAAAGGGGGAAAAGACCCTCCTCGTTAGACACCAAATGGTTGAGTTTCCATAATATCCTTGCTTAATTAGACTACTGTTTTAGATTCCCATAATACAAAAAACATGAACTACATAGGGTGGGTTGATGCAACACATTAGACTAAAATGTGTTTGCATGACACATTCAACAATAAATTAGCCAAACAGCCAATGTGTTAGCTTTCTAATGTGATAAAAGTAAAGACATCCTTGAGTCATGCTCAACTTCTGGAACTACATGGACACTTTAATATAACACTGATGGTCTTTCTAACTAGCTTGAGAGTTTCAGTTTTAATACATCTGGAAGACATCTGGTTGGCTTCACATGAAATCCCCAATATAAAGGTAATGTCTCTTTCAAGTTGAGGCCGACTCTTGTTGAATGCAGACACACATCCATGAAATTTTCCTGGCAACAATACATAAATGGTTTGTCCTAGTTTAGCCTACAGCCATAGCATTTTCTGGAGGTTTCCCATCCATGTATTAACCAGGTCTAATTCTCCTTAATATCCAAGACAATGCTATAATATCTCCACAGTGCATTCTGAGAGTTGCAAGATCTATACTAGAAATTCTATGTTGTTCCTAATATCAACTGTACCTAATTACCACATACAGTCTTTGGTATCTCTGCTTAAAACAAAAGTGAGAACCCAGCTTGCATACAGCTCTGATTTTTTCTTGAAGTTTGTAGAGCTCCCCAAAATTGTGCCACCAAAATTTGGCATCAGTCTTTTGAATAGCAGCTTACAGAAATGATGCTTCCTGCAACCCTGTTCAAAAGCTTTGATAATGCATCTATTTGCTTTTCCTCACAACCCTATTCAGAGGCTTTGATAATGCATCTATTTGCTTTTCCATACCTTTGCTCCATTTAATTCTGGATTTAACATCCCTGGAAATGCAAGTAATTGTACAAGAATATTGAAGAGAGCTGAAGTGCCTGGGAGCCCATCAAACCCCCTTGATTGATTGGTTGGGTGCTTGCTGTATGATTGGATGGAGGGTCCCCTAACTAGGGAAGGTGGGGGGTTGGGATTTGGGGGAACTGGAGTGCCTGGGGGGCTTAGGGTGCTACCCTCCCGGCTTTCCGAAAAGATTAAAGACCTGGCTCTGTCAGTGTGCATGGGGTGATATGGGCTCTAACCGCCCCTAGGGGTGGTTAGTCCCCTGATGATGCTCCCTGGAATTATTTGCCAATTTTCTATCTTCTTGGAATTTATTGTTTTTATGTTGTATTTTAATGATTTTTTATCTTCTTGTAAACTGCCCAGAGTCATTTCATGAGATGGGTGGTGACAAATTTGATGAATAAATAATAAAAATAAAATATTGTAGAATAAAACTACCAGAATTATGACAATGAAAAGACTGATATGTGGACAATCAATGACACTTTTCTTTTACAGGCCTTGAGTATTACTACTGGATTTGCCCACAATTAGCTGCTAATTAGCAGAAAACATGGTGTAATTATATAGAAACCAGAAAGCAACTCCATGCCCAGATTCACTGTGACAGTGCTAGTTCAAAGTGATAATACACCATCTCATCTCCAATATGGAGCATGTCACTACTTTTCAGCAATTTTCTATAATTTACAATGGACAAATTAGCCAATCTGGAAACAAAATTAAAATAGTCAAAACAAATTTGACTGAAGAGCAATGGTGTTTGATGGTATTGATGTCATGATAGTGTTGAAACTTTTCAGCACTATCATGACTTCAATATGGCTATTCTTGAGAAATGGAATTATAAAGACTGTGAAATGGCACAGATAGAATTCATTAGGAGAGTTATCATTAGCAATATAAGACTTAATGATATTTCTCACAAATGAAAGAGAGACCAAGATTCCTTATCATACTGAATATAAGTACCTCATAAATGCAAGTTTGTGTCTCACCCAAGAACTGTTTTTGTTAATGACAATGAATTATTCTGCAATTGTCACTATTTCTGACCTGTCATTTACTATCCCAACCTTCTCTCACCAGCAATAATCACTCTCTGTGTGTATATTATAGAACTATTCTCTCAGAATTCTGTTCCACACATCTGATGAAGCAGATGGTGATCACAAAAGCACATGCTATTATAAATCTTTTGAGACTTTAAAGTACCACAAGACTCTGTCATTGTAACGTAGAATCTTAAGAACTGATTGAAACAAGTTATGTATTAAGTTAGAAAATGTATTGTAAACAAGCACAATGTCATAATGTGCACAATGAACTCGTTACAAGTTAAATTTTATGCCAGACATTGAAATTAATAACATAGTTTTTGAAGTACCCATGAGCTACTTGGAGGTGAAGTGTTTGAGAGAATTCTACATTCCGTATTTCTGGATCATTTCATTTGCTTTAGAAATGTAAGCTTTCATCGCATCTTCTTTTGACATACCTGGAATGGAAAATCAGCAGTTACTACTGCGCCTTGCTTTTTATCAGGAAAAAACAAACCAGTATTGTTGAGAGTAAGACTAACCTTTCTTCAAGTTCCAGGCCTCCCATTTGGCTCGGCCTTTCAAATCTAATACCCCAGGACACTCTGCCAAAGGGGAGAACATCAATCATTAAGCATCATGTGTGTTCTGGAAAAGAACTCTCATACTCAATTTCTCCAGGATGTATACAAAATTACCAGTGTTGATGTCTCCTACAGTAGCCTGTTTGTAGAGTCCATACAGTTCCTTTAGTTCATCATCTGTGGGCTTGGACTTTAATTTTTTAACATTTTCTGCAACAGTCTCAAAGTCAGCCTGATGAGAAAACAAAAATAAGAACAAAAGCATCTTTACTTTGAACTGTCATCCATTTAGGAAATGGATATAAATTTAATTTTAAAATGTAACACTTTTTTTTTGCCATTATTTTTACTAAACACTTGATTTCTGATTCTAGTTGTATGGTAAAATATTCCTGTTTTTCTAGTTGTGTGGTACCACACCCCCTGTACCATTTATTTATTTTTTTTGCCAGTACAAGAATTCCCTTCAGCCTTTTGAGCTAGAGGCCATGCATACAAAGCAGGTTTATACGTGTGGAGAATTACTGTTAAAGATAAACTAGATTCATTATTGAACAGCCACTGGCAAAGAACAAACTTCAAAGTTCTAGGAACCATTCAAGCAAAGTCTGGGATAATTACTCAGCATTGATTTATTAGTTGAGTTTATAATCTCACTTCTCTTTGCCTTGATTTAATCAAGAAAATGACCCATGGGAAAAAAGAAAAATTGCTTTTAAATAAGGTTTAGGATTCCGTTAAAAATAGCCTAGTTCTATTTCATACAACATTTACAAGTTTTATCACAAGTCCATTGTGCAAAAGGACTTTAAAGCATACAACCCTTCCCCACATATTTTGTTCTTCTTAAAACCACTTATTACAACCACAGATACACCACTGTGAAAACAAAAGCGGGCATACTGACAGCTCTTTTATCTGATCTAGTAGAGCTCTTCTCAGTCCTTTATGCTCCTAATTTTCTTTTTCTTATCCTATACTGTATTTTTCCAATATATCTAGTATTCATTCAAATATTCCATGCTGTTGTGTACATGGACAAGGCCAAGTAAATAAAAATAAGATGATTTAGTGATTTTGCCAATCGCATTAAATCAGCCTTTCTCAAGCTGGACCCCAACACCCAAAATTTCCATCTAATAGACTCTTGAGCACCAGGTTCAGGAAGACAACACAAGATGATCCCATGACATGTGACAAATTCTCAAAAATGGTAGGTTTCTAGGTAGTTTTCATAGGGATGCAGCGCTTTTGTACATTAAAGGAAATAAAGCACAGGTTAAGTAATTTTAAAATATTTTTTAAGAGACACAGGATTAGATTCACATTTGACTATAATTGTAGGGATCCTTCCTTAGGGTGAAGAGAAAATGAGGCTCCATGCAGACCTAATCCCACATCAAACTGCTGCCACAGCTGGGCTGCTGTCCCCCACTCCCACAGCAATGCCGTTACAGGCCTGAGTCCTGACTGTGATGGGTTAAAGCAATGTGTACATTTAGTCTGGCCCAGCATTCCACTCCTTGTACTACTAATAGTGAGCCTATCTTGATAAAAAAAAAAAAAGCAAGACATCAAGCAAAGATTTTTCAGACGAGTAGACAACCAATAGTAAAATCCAGATTCCAATCATTTTGTTTCTAGTGCACCATGACAAAGAAGGAAGTCCATGATGATAATTTGCAGAGATAAAAAGGCTTATAAGCTCTTCTAAGAAGGAAGAGGTACAGAGGATTTAAAAATATAACTCTTATGAAGTCAACATGGCATTAACAGTCATTATTCCTTTAAATAATTTACATTCCTTATTTGTACCCATTCATTTTGTCCCAGAGATGCAAAAAGCAACAGAAACTAGTCAGATGGTAGAAGTTGAGGTCAACTGTTAGGAAATAAGTAGATGGAGATGCTACATCCAAAAGGTCATACAGAGCTGCTCTGGATGAGTGATTCACAATCAAAGATTCTGGGCATCAGAACTCAAGGCTGGCTGAAACAAATGTTGCCTCCAACAACAGCCTCTGATACTATCTTATCAAGTTCCCAGTCCCACCCAGACTGAGCTGGTACTCATGAGACCGCCTTTCAGGGAGGTGCTCTTTCCTAGGGGAGCCCAACCTTGCAATCTTCACCATTCAGCCTTCTGTTCTTCTGCTAAGCAGCAGGATAAAGATCAGTGGCTGAAGCTGCAGGATCAGCAGATTTTGCAAGGATCTACTTCAGCATCTTCTCTTTGATTTCTCCCTGAGGGGGGAGTCCATGGAATGCCCAGCACCACTGTCACTGTCATTCAAATTTGAAAATATTCACTTTTAAAGCTCCATTGCGCTTTTAAGTTTAAATTGCTTTGACATTATTACTTTTTTTTTTACAGTATATCAAGATGAAATTATAATAAAGCTGCTACTGGCCAAGGTCCTATAATCTTTAAACCAGTCTTATCTTCAATGTTACCTGTCAACAAAACCTTTGCATATTTCACAACAATAGTTTTGAAACTTCATAGTCCAATAATTTGTTGAAGCTACTAAAGTTTAAGTAAAGATGCTTTGGGTATTTTTGGGGGGCAGGGGCATGCCTTCGAGTCAGTCTTGACTCCAGGTGACTGCCTGGACATGTCCCTGCAGTTTTCTTGGCAAGATTTTGGAAATGGTTGGCCATTGCCTCCTTCCTAGGGCTGAGGGAGAGTGACTGGCCCAAGGTCACTCAGCTGGCTTTGAACCTAAGGCGGGACTAGAACTCAGTCTCCCAGTTTGTAGCCTGATGCCTTAACCACTACACTAAATTGGCTCTTTTACTGCCACATTATTTAATAATCTCTAGATGAAAGAGTTATAATAGCATCATCATTGCCTTTCTAACACAAAGAAAATGTCTTTGCTGAATTAAACTTCACTCCTGGTGACTTCATGGACACAACCCTGCAGTTTATTTGGCAAGAACTAAAAAAAAAATGGTTTAACATTGTCTTCTTCAGGGATTTTTTAAAACTTTTTTTTTAACTTTCCAGTCTACTTTACACTACTCCCTGGCAGTCTCCCATCCAAGTACCTGGCTTTGCTTAACTACAAAGCCCAGACAGATGCTCCCTACTGAGAAGAACATTGCTCTCATTCTTTTTAATTTTATTTCCCATACTACTTCAATACGCTGACAGGGAAAGGGAAGACATTTGCAAAGTAAGAGCAAGTTGCATGTAGTCAGACCAAGAGGGAGACCTGGTGGCAAGTAGCGCAAGTGGAACCTATATTCGATTTTCTAGAAGCAAGTGAAATACTGTTTATTTCCAACTTTGGCAGGCTCAGATTAAGGAAAAACTCATGTCAGCTGTGCAGGAGATTGCACCAAGAAACCAGCACAAGATAGAGGGCTTGAAAATGGAACCACAGCAGACAAGATACTAGAAGGGAAAGTGACAATGTTGGTGGCTATTTAGCTAAGAAAAAAAACACCAAATGTGCAGGTAAATATACATGACGTGGAGCAGATGGATGGAACTTTTTCCCTCTCTACACAATGCTAAAATGGTGGGTGATTCAGGAAACAGTACTGAGCATTTAGTTAAACAATCCAACTCATGGTCATAAGTTGCAGTGATAATTGGAAAGGAGATTACATCAATGTAAAGAGAGGAAAGGTATCAGTGGCTATTAATCACAATAGAAATATGTGGCTGTTGCTATCAGAAACAGACTGCCTCTCTTGCGGGGAATATGAATAGGAGGGTGTTATTAGCATCTGCCTGGCTGTTGGCTGGATTTAATAGCTTTTGGGTTGATCACTTAGCATGGCTTTTCTTATATTCTGAACATGAACCCAGGAGTGAAAGGCATGATACAGCCATCACTCCTGTTCCTCATTTTCATTCAAAACTAAAGCTCTAATCCAGCTGGTAGGCAAATCCTTGCTTCTCCATAGCAAATCCACCAACTCTTGAGAGCAATCATGCCTAGGTAAACATTTTTCACTATTAAACATCTGCCTTTTCTCCTTATGGGGCTCAATACAGTACACACACTGTTCTCAATGGATGGAGTAGCCTCTCTGAGAGCTTCAACCAGATTCTCCACATTCAAGCTGGCTGAAGAAATTATAAAGTCACAGCTGCTTAAACCTTTCTAAGAACCATATTTATACTGTACATAAAGTATTAAATCCCATTTCTGTGCCCACATACTTGGGATGAAGAGGGTGTAAAAGATCAAAACACATGAGAAGGGAGGGAGTCCATCGTAGGTCAGCAGGGCTTCCTCCCTTCTCAACTAAGGGAGAAAAGAAATTCCTGCACACTGAAACAAAGTCCTATGTTGCTTCAGCTTTAGAAATGGAGCTGCCGTCTAATTAGGTAAGCGTAGAGTTCACCAGTCTGTGCCGAGTGCCAAGAGCAGTGTTGTCCAAACTTGGCCACTTTAAGATGAGTGGACTTCAACTCCCCAAATTCCCCCCCCCCCCCCTTTCGGGCGGGGATTTTTGTAGATTTGGAGCCACCATACTTTAGAGGGGCAGGTTTGTGAACACACGCCCACAGA